TCCTGCTCTTAGGACTTGCAGGATGGGACTAAGTCACTAAGCCAAGCCTGCCAGCCCTGCTGCCTGAGCCCATGTAGGGATGGGGCCTGCTCTGAGGGCAAAGGAAAAGGAGAGAGTGTCTGCTCCCACTGTAGCTAGAGGACTAGACCAGAGCCCTTCATTCTGCTCTTCACCCACCTGCCAAAAAGCAGGTGAGGTCTTAGGCTTGGGAAAGGCAGAAGCAGGACTCCACTGCATTTATCAGCTGAGCACAGAGCAGGGCCTAGGCAACAGGAGCAACAGCTTCTTTCCTCTCAGCCTAGTCCACGGCAAGCACAACCCATGTCTATCCTCTTTCAGAGGCCAGCTAGGACATAGAACAGCTAGGGCCTGCCCTGTGCAGAGATCTTTTTCAGGACATTTGTCTCCATTTCCTAAGCAAGGTGACAGGAGCAGTTTCTTCTTGACCTCCATTTTTCCCCAGGCAGCCTTAGGGCTGCTTCAGAAGCAGGTTGTACTCTGGGTACTAGCAGCTCTTTGAAACAGAGTGCCAATGCCCTGCAGCACAACCCTCTGCCATCCACCATCTTCCATCATCTGTGTGCCCTAGAGGGATCACTAAAGCAAAAAGAGAGAGCATGCAGCCATGGCTGAGAGGCTGAACAACTCCCTGTCCCAGGAAAAGTATCAAGGTCTCTGATGGTCCTTCCCTCCCTGCTGCCCCAAGGAGCAGCCGTGCTCTCTCCCCACTCTCCAGACCCCTCCTGGCCTTCATCAGTGGCCATGGCAGCTCTTTAGACTGCAGGAAGGAGGGTCTGGCTGTGATAAGAGAGGATCAAAACCTCTGGATCTCCTTCCCCTCCCAGGGCTCTTGCTGCTATCAACAGACAGCACCACCAGCTCAGACTCACCTTGCTCATCTCCTCTCTCTCCTCCGCGTGCATCCAGATTGGCTTGTGTTCATCTGTGTGGGGAAGAATGCAAGTCAGCTCTGCTCACCACCTCACCCTGTTGCTCTGCCACTTCCACTGAGGCCCTGCCCCCTGCACAGCCCAGCACTCTGTCCCCAGAGCCAGCAGCTCACCAGAGGGAAGCAACAAGGCTTCTAGATCCCTCTGGTCCCTGGGCCAGAGCCCCAAGAAAGGCAATCGACATTGCAAGGGCAGGACAGGGGAAGGAAGGAACAAGTCCTCCCATGGGGGAATATCTGTGCCAGGTTTACAGGAGAAACTTCAGTCTATGCCTGGGAATGATTGTGCCACTTGCTATTCCCCCTTTTAGCCACAACTATTCCCAAACCCAGTAAAGACTGACAGCCAGAGCTCTCCAAGACGCCTTCTGAGAAAAGAGGCAGAGCAGCATAACACACCATAATGGCAGCGTCTCAAGGGCTGCCCAAGTAGGGGCACTGCAAGGCATCCCATCCCTTTGCCAGGGGGATACCAGAACCAGCCAAGCCTAGGCTGAGAGCCAGGAGACCAGGCTGCTCACCCTTCCCCAGCCCCAACAGCTTCTGCTGTACAAACCATCCACAGAGCCAAATTCCTTCACGTGAGCACGGGTAAGGATCTCCTTATACAGCACCTCTGCATCTTTGTATTTGCCTTGCTTCAGGTAACAGGAGGCCTGCAATCAAGAAAACAGCTCCAGCTCCAGCCTTACTGGGCAACATGGATTAACTCTGCCCCCCTCTTGCAGCTATCTCTCTGCATCTTCCAAGCACCAGGCAATGCTCACCTGTCCCATGGCACCACTCCCCATCCCCCCATGGCCTCTCCCCAGGGTCTCACCAGGTTGTTCTTGGTCTTAGCCACATTGGGGTCATCAGGACCCAGGCAGCTCTCATAGATCTCCAGGGCCCGGCAGTAATAGTACTCCACCTCGTCATACTTGCCCTGGTTCTGGCACAGCAGGGCTAGATTGTTCAGCTGCTTGGCCACATCAGGATGGTCTTTGCCTAGGACCTGGGTAAACAGAAGAGAAGCCACAAGAAGTCAGCGCTTAAAGACTGTGGTGGACTCCTGAGTTACTAGACACTGTAGTCCCTCTAGGACATGCCTATGTCAGACAGGAGCCAAGGATTAGGGAGGTGGAGAAATTCCAGCTTCCACCTCCTGGCAGGCCTCTCTAAAGCTGCAAACACTGGAGAGACAGGAAAGGTGGTGGCAGAATCGGCAGCCGAAGAGACTAGGTAGGTCCTGGATCTGCCAGGTACAGTGAGGTAATGGGGAAAAACCCTCAGGGAGAGCTGGAAGGAAGGAGAGCGTGGGAGACCAGTACCTTCTCACGGATCTCCAGGGCTCGCTTACACAGTGGCTCTGCTTCTTTGTACTTCCCTCTCTTGCCATAGAGAACAGCCAGATTGTTCAAAGTTGCTGCCACCTGCAGAGACATAAGCTTCTCTGTGAAACACAGCAGAATCCAGTGGGACCAAACAAGGGACACAAGCAGCAGTAACAGTGACTATCCCATTTCCTTCATGCCCGCAGTACAGCTGCTTCTGAAGAGAAGGAGATCCAGAGGCAGAAGGCTACCCTGCCTACATCACAGGATCCAGAAGCCAACTCCTGACAGGCCATACTGAACAAGACAGCAGGAAGTACTGAAGCAGTAAAACAGAGCCCCACACCATGTGAACAGCACCCCTCACGTCACAGAGCACACTGCTGTCCTTGATGGTGTGCCTGCAGCCGCACTGCAAGGGCACTGTTCTATCCCCAGTGGCACCCACAGGTCAAGGGAAGCGACTGAAAGAAGAGGGAGACACTCACCGCTGGGTGGTCTTTGCCCAGAGTCTTCTCACGGATGGAGAGAGCATCATTCAAGAGGTGTGCTGCCTCTTTGTATTTATTCTGATCCCTGCAGTGCAAAGCCAACCGGTTATTCAGGATTTGGACACCACAGCCCATAGCAAGTAGTACTGTGAACAACAGTCCTCCTTCCACACAGATCCAGCCCCCACAGCACTTTCATTTCTCCATTCCTCCCTATTTTAGCCAGTCCCTAGTTATATCAGGGAGTCTGGAGGTCCAAATACCTTATCTGTGCCAAAACCTTTTTGAAAGGCAAACCACTGGCAGCTGGGTGAGCTCCATGTCACCAGAATGTGCTGTTCTGGTAAATGGGAGAGGCAGAGAGCTCTCCTGGCCCAGTCCTGCCCTCCCCACCATGCTTACCTGTACACTAGTGCCAGGATGTTGAGCATGGTGGCCACATCAGGGTGATCGTGGCCTGATGTCTTCTCCAGGTCCTCCAGTGCCTGCTTGCAGAGCGGCACAGCCACCTCATAGCGTCCCTGTGAGGCGTACTGGATGACAAGGTTGTGGAGGGTGCGCAAGCGTGCAGGAATCTCATAGCCTCCCTGCTGGGCAGCTGCCACTGCACTGCTGTGCTGGTGGGGCACTGCAACCACAGAGGAATAAACAGGGGCACACTTGGCAAAGCAGGCTTGAACAGAGGCAGCCAGCAACCATGCATGAACAAACACTTACATCCAGGACCATGCTCCTCCTCCTCATTCGGGAACAGATCATCCAGAGAGTCCTTGGTGGAGTCACCCTCCTTCTCCTCCTGAGAGGATGGGAATCACAATACTGTAGGGTTCTCGGAGGAGACAGCAGCAGCCTGGGCTGAATCAGCTGCCAAACTCTCCTCCCTGCTGCAGCCCACCAACACCCTCAACTTCCCCTGTTGTCTCTGCCACCATCTTCCCCACCCACAACAAAACTAATAAAGCCAAATTTCCCTAGCACATCCTGGCATGCTACTCCATGTTCTTCCAGAGACTCTGCCCCATGCAGGCTCCCTTTAGGCACAGGCATTGCTGTGCACAGTAGCTGGGAAGGGGAAAAATCCAGGGCAACACTATCACACCTAGGCAATCCTGCTGGTCCAACCTCCCCCACCCCCAAAGGTGTCTGCTCGACAGGATTAGGGCGTACCGAAGGTGACACATCCTCATCATACTTCTTCAGCTGGTTCATGAACTCAAGGTGTTTCTTCTCCTCCTCCAGCTGAGCCACGGTTTGTTCACTGCGCTGCAGCTTCTGCTGGGTGTTGGCAAGCTCATCGCGCAGCCACTGGTTCTCCTGGCACAGTCTCCGCACCTGAGCGCGCAGCTTCTGCTTCTCTGACTCCACAGCATTCAGATGGTTGGACAATGCCATCATCACCTTATCAAGAGTCCCAGTCAGTAACTACCACAATCTTGTATCTCCCTCACATGCATGCTTAGGGGCCACCCTCAGGGTCACGCTAGCCTTCTACACTCAGCCCCTTGCTGCCCCTGCAGCTTATGGGGAATGGCCCCATGCCCGCCTTCCCCTGCCCGTCCTAAGTAATGCCTAGGGGGTCACCCCCCACTCTCACCTGAGCTTCTCCGAGCCCCAGTTCAATCATCTCCACTGACTTGCGGAGCAGGTTGGATTTCTCATGCACAAGATTGGCTTCTTCATCTTTCTTCAGGCACTTGATGGTCTCCAGCAAGCTGTGCAGGATGGAGTTGTGTTCATTCTTGAGTGCCTCCAGCCCTTGCATCACCAGCTTGGTGTTGGAAATGATCTCCTCTTGGCTCAGCTTGTCCAGTTTCTCCTCCCTTGGGTACACCATGGTGGACATAGTTGTGCTCCTGCAGCCCTACACAGACAGACAGACAAAACCTGAGCCCCTCGGTGCCGTTTCAGAGAGGCACAGCCAGACACAAGTGCCACAGCCTCCTTCAAACAGCCAGAGACAGCGTTCAACTGGTTGTCCGCTCTAAGTCCTTCCCCTTCGTCTTTCCCTTTGGCAGCAGGCAGCTGTCAGGGCATGTGTCTCCGCTTTTGTGGCACAGAGTGCTGGCAACCGGTGCAGGTGGCACACGTGGACAGGAGACAAAAAGGCTAGAATCAGTGCTGACCTCCAACACCCCCACACTCCAAGCGGCAAGGAAAGCTGATTTAGCTTCCATTTAAGAGCAGAGATTTGTAGTTGGCAGCTGGGGTTGCAATGCGTACACCTCCTGCCCACAGACCACTGATGGAAGGAGGCTGTCAGAGCTCAACACCTCTTCTGACTGCAGAGGAAAGGGAATAGAAAGTAGAGGGATGCCAGCTCAAAGCTTTCTGCTTCCTCAATGGAAAATCTCCTGGAAGAGCACCTCTCAGACAGGGAGGCATTAGTGGCCTTACCAGGCCAAACAAAAAATTCCCTGACCAGAAGAGTACACCCTGACAATCCCAGCCCTGGCACAGAACAGCCATTGTGGCGATAAGGGACACAACACCGCCAGCATGAACTGAATCACGCCTGTGTGGGAAAGCTTAGATACACCAACTGCTACAGCTACACTAGTGTAACCCTCGCGTGGGTGTCAGCTTGAAACACTAACAGCTTTTCCAGCTTCATTCACCCTGCTGCCAGCCCAAGGACTCTGTACCCCTTCCCAGTCCCGTTTCTCCCAGATATACAACAGGAGAGTACCAAGCTACTGCCTTTGCACAGGGACACCAAGCACCACAACCCACAATGTTAGCGTGGCTGCAAGATCCCTGCATAGAAAATCCAGGAGCTAGGGAAACACAGCAGGCCAGAGGGCGAGACATAAGAAGCAGGCAAGACCTCTTATAGCAGGTTGACGGTACCCTAGCTGCCCCATGACTCATCTAACCTCAGCGACGGTAGGAAAGCTACCACCCACCTCGCTATCGGTCACTCCAAGGCCAGCCTCCCGCAGGGCTGAAGGCAGCCAGCTGCGATGCCCTGCGCAGGCAGCACCTGCCCAGCAGCACCTCCTTGCTGCCCGGAGCTGGCAGGAGGCACTGCAACCTCAGCACCCAGGGCCTTGCTGGCAAGAAGCTGGCACACTGCCCAGGCACTACGCAGGAGGAGGTGGGGGAAGAGCTGCCAACAGATTTGCCTTTGTCCTCCTGCAGGACCTACCTCTGTGTGGTTTGAGCTCTTTGTTTGGCAGCAGCCCTGTGCCTGGTTTATTGAACGAGCAGAAATGCTGCCTCGCGTACAGCAACAGAGAGAGCAGAGCTCCTCTTCTTGGCAGGGCTCCTCTCCTCCCCAGCTCTGTGCTCTGCCCTCTGTCCAGGGGGGCTCAGGGCGATCCCCCAGCTCAGCTACTGCTATTCCTGACCAGGAGTGGGCCCTGAGCAATAGAGGGGTCCTGTTTCTTCCTCACTGCAGCACTGAAAGTGAAGATGGCAAACAGTGCTGGGGCAGTTGCTATAAGTACACACATCTCATTATACACACCCATTTCCTCCTCTTTAGCGTCACTCGTCCAGAAGTTCCTTGAGTTGTTTTATAGGCCTGAGCTCACCTCTCAGCTCCTCTTTGGTTTCTGCTCCAGTGATGCACAGCCATCCCTCAAGAAGGGCAGCAAACTCTCGACGCACAGCAGAGACCTTACTGAATCTCAGCAGGGCAAAAACACTTCATGTCTCTTGAAGACTGGGTTCCCATCCATACCTTTGAGCAAGAGCTGAGTCCTCCCCCACAGTCACAATGCTGACTTCACATTCACTTCATGATCCAGCATCAGCACCAATCCTGAGCCATACTTCACTCTATCCTTCACTTTTGGGTATCTGCCATGCTCCACATGCAGTTACCTTGTGCATTTCACACTGAGAAGTCTCATCTGGACTGTGACATTTCCCAGTTTGCTTTAGAGAAGACGATATCAAGAATGGCATGAAAAACCTCACTAAGATCAAGACAGAGGGCACAGACTACTGTTTCAAAGAAAAGGTCTGTTGAGAGTTGGCTGCCACTCATATCCTGTCTTCCAAACTGATTCTCCAGGAACTGGCAGCTAAGCATTCTGGTCCCTAATTCCCCTGGTTATTCTTTTTCTCACCCTTATAACACATCTGGGGGAGTGATCAAGTGCTAAAGCAACAAGGGAAGCCCTGCCTAAGGCAGACTTCTGCAGACAAACACAATTCAGGAGGAGATGTGCAATGACTCCCAGCTCCAGAGGAAGAGGCTGGCAGCCCAAAGGACTCTACCACGTCTGGCAAAGCACTGTTGTCCTGCTCTGAAAGGGGTCCAGACAGCCTCCCAGGAACACTCAGCAGGCACTTACCTGCTTCCCCAGAAGCCCAGGTAACAACCGCTAAAGGGCGAAACAGCCCTGTCACTGGTTTCAGCTTATAAGAAAACACAGCCCCCAGACTCAGAAACAGGGAAATCAGGAAGCGGGAGTCCTCTGGTGTCCCAGGCATTGCCTATGCTCAAGGAGATCCCCAGGAGCAGCCTCATACCCAGCATACAACAAAACTAGAGCTCTGCCCTAAGGCTCACAGCTGTGCAGCACAAATGCTTCTTCATCTGTCCCTCTGTGTACTGGGTCAGCTGTGAAATGCTGACAGTTTTCATGGAAGCATTACTTACGTCCATACAGAGATCTTGTTGCCATCTTTAAAAAGTACAATACAAACCCATTGGGAAGAGGAACATGTTACAAATCATGATAAAAAGCCACCAGAGCTTGCACCTTGCTAGATAACAGAGTCAGACAAGACCCAGATCCATAGAAAAATCAGCCTCATTAATTCCACTGTGCACAGAAGAACTACTCAACTGAGAAATCGCTGAGCTGTGTGTTAAACGACCAGTGCCTCTACTACAGCAACATCCTGTCTTTCTTCAGCCCTTCCAGCAGAAAAAGCTTCGAGTATTTCATGGTCCTCACAACTGACTTGTTTTTCGGAACTGTAAAGATTTCAGACTGAGAAAGAAAAATAATCAAGATGTCCTGACCCACAGTACATCAGACTCATCCCACCCTGCAACTGCATCCTCAGATCCTCAAGACATAGCAATACAGGCACCTCTTCTCTCACTGGCTGTGCAAACACCTCTACAAAACTCTAGTCTTTCTCCCCTCGGATGACATCCTAGAAGCACAGCTCTGCTAGGTACCAACTTCCAGTGTTCAAGGGTGGACAGGGGATTGTCCAGGCTGGACACAGGGTGGAAAACCTGAGAACAGCACATTGGCTGTTCCCTTCCAAGTACCAGCAAGAAAACAAAGAGAAGACTGCAGAGAAGTCACTTAAATGCTGCTACCTCTTGCACAGCAAAGAAAAACAACAAACACTGGTGGGAGCTGATTTATTATGCCTCCAAAGTGACAATTCTTCCCTACAAAGCTTCATTTCTAGCTCTCCCCAGTGCTGGCAGGCCTACACTCAGTGCCCAGCCCTCCAGAGAGGAAACATGCTCTATGGCAACAGACGCCAAGGTCAGGCAGGCCGAGCCTGCTGTATAAGCACTCTTCCTACTCCTACACATTGAGTAAAGGGCACTGGGTGTCCCTTATCCAGGCAGAAGACACACTCAGAGGTTCCTGCAGAGAGGAGGGTAGACACCATCATTTGCCTTTGGCAGGGGGAAGCTCAGACTGGAACAGGAAGAATAAATGCTTTTCCAATGAGTTCCTTGGGAGTTGGAGTGCCCAGCTCCTACTTTATCCTGTTGCATTCCTCACAGCTCTGCAGGTGTCACTGCCCAGGTCTCCACCAGCGTATTTCTGCTCTAGTTAGCACATCTTCCCTACTTACAGTGAGCTGCTAGAATAGCCCGGCTTTCTGGCAACACCCATCTCGTCTCCCTTCCCCTGCTCCCATTTGGAGGAGTGCTGCAGGAAGACAGAGACAGGGAACAAACATGCATGCTTACTGGCAGTTGCAGCAATCAGCTGAGAATCCATCAGCTAGTACATCCTGCCAGGCAGAAACCTTTCTCCTGTATTCAAGTGCATAACCAGGAAAACACTGAGCATCAGCAATTTCAGCAGCCCACTTTCCTGCCTCTGAAAACTGCTCCAACATGCAAGAGCTTTAAGAGGAAAGAGCTGGAAGCTTCACTGCTTCTATCTTAAACCCACAACAACTGCCACAACAGAAACAAGGATGCCAGGCTAAATGGGTCCAAGTGAATCTTAAAGCTTAGATTATGATGCCTAATGCTAGAAGACTACAGAGAGAAAAAAAAAATAAGCACCAGGGAAATCAGGAGTCAACTACAATAGGACAGAAACTTCAGGTCTACACATGCCTCAAGAAATTCAGTTCCTTTCACTGTCTCCCCATGTGTCCCTGGACCAAGTGTATGTGAGACACAGGGTACTGTCACAACTTGCACAAGCGACACTGTCAAGCCAATAACTGCAGCTTCCTTCAAACTGCAGATGGCCTGCCAGCACTTTCTGTATAGAAGTGGGCATAGATTTTTAGCAGCAAACTCTTCTGTAGGAGAAGGTGATCTAAGGATACAGTCATTGCAGAAAAACAGCTGGGTCCTGGAAAAAAGCTTCCTGTGGAAAAGAGTAAATTTGACCCATAGCAAGAATGAGTGACCACGTTTGGGAGATAGACAGCAATGGTAGCATTTAGAAATGGAAACACAGGGCTTAAAGTCTTATTTTCACAATAATTATCCCAGTCTTATGCTCCAAGACATGCTTTTGCTACCTGGAGAAACAGCAAGGTTATGTACTTGGGAAGCACAACAACTTGATAAAAAGCAGGGAGGGTTTGTTTGGTTTTGGTTTGGGTGTCCCCCCCCCCCCCCCCCCCACCCCACCCACACCCACCCCCTGGGACCCAGGCATCCGGGTTACTGTTAAACAACTGAATAAAGGGTCTCTGGAAAGACTGGTTGACCTCCAACAAAGCTAGAAGTGAGATCTCCAATATACAGCTGAGTCTCCACTCCTAAGGGATACTGCAGCAAAACCTAGACCTAATAACTTGGATGCTGAAAAATAAAATAAAAGCAGTAAAAAGCAAACAGAAGGCCAAGGTTGCAACCATCGCAGAAGCTGTGTCATGAGCACAAGTTTTCTCCTTATTTTGATACCATAGTGTCAGAAAGCAAACAGAGATTGTTGGAGACTACAGTCAGCTGTGCAGAGCCTCTGAGGCTTCCACTGCACAGCCAGGACATATTGACGCTGCCAGGAAACTTGTAGACTGCCACACCACTGCCAGAAGAGCCACTGTGCTCAGGGTCACTACCCCAGGCCACATGCAACAGAGCCACAGAAAAGGGACAAACTGGTGCTGCCGAGCTGCACATCTGACAGTCAGCATTTCCAGAGCTGCTCCAATAGGGGTAAAACAAGATATATAATCAGCTCTGTATGGTGCCCAAGAACTTCACAGCTAAGAGCAGCTGCACACACACATGTTAAGGCTTTAGAAACAAAGGCAAGAGAAGGATGTTTTGCAAATGAAGGGACAGATGGGTGTGCAGTCAGCTTCAGGGTAACGTTAAGAACTGCAACACGAATAAGAGCCAGAAATTAGAGGGCAAATGCTGGACTCCTAAAAGAAAGAGCTGGTGGAATAATTACAGTATATGGCTCCATCCTGGGATACAAGCCTGCTGCGGTTCATGTGAGGCACCGAGCAGGAAAAACCACTGCCAGAAATGCCTGGTACATCTCATGCTCCCTTAGAGCCACTAAGAACACATGAAGAGGAGATCAGTCAGGGGTCAGCACCCTGGGAGTTGATACCCAGCATATCTCTGAGCTGCAATCCCAAAGCCAAAAGATGTCCCTCAAACTCTGACGTGCATGAGGTCCTCTGCCACCATTTGTCTCTGGCTCATGAGTTTCTCCACCCTACCACCAAAAAAGGGGCACCTAGAGCCCCATATTCTGCCTAAAGTTCTTTCCCAACCCCAGCCTCCGGCCTGGACCTTTCTTGCACCACAGGCTGTCTAGAGACTCAAACCAAAACACATGGGACTTCAAGAGCCATAGAGAAACTGTTGTGTTGCAACTTCCTCCCTAATAAAAGGGCCTGGCTGTTGTATTACTTGGAAGAGATGCCTAAAGGTCTCTGGTCCATCCCCTCGTTCAAAGCAGGTATCTCATCAGGAATCTGTCTCTAGTCAAGGGTTGAGTATCTCCCAAAATGGAGATCCCACAAGCTCCTTCAGACCCCTGTCTCATGGCTTAACCATCCTCATATAGGAGGGAAAAAAAAAAAAAGAAAAAAATTCCTCACCTGAATTCCTTAGATAAACTCCTTATTACATTTGCCTTTGCTGAACACCACTTCAGGACAAAGGGGACAGGCACCACAGTGCTAGAAACTGACCCTAGGCCCAGAGGAAGGGAATGCAGCACATGCCTCCTTTCAGCAGGGTCTCATGGGGACAGTGTCCCTCTGTCCCAGAGCAAGAGAGGCAATGCAATCCACCTCCAGCAGCAGAGCAGTGAGTGGAGGCAAGAAGCTGTCTCACCCACATTCTCCCATACCCAAAGAACAGGACTCTCCTTAGCATCCAGGCACCCCCTCGCATGGTTTTAAAGCCAATCTCCGAGCCCAGAAAGGCTTCACCCAGCCAGCTTCCCCAAGCTTTAGAGTCATGTGTAACTCGGTACAAGTTGACTGTGCTGTTGGAAACAGCCCAGCCCTCCCTATGCCCTGGACGGGGATCAAGGCCAGGATTGCTTCCTTCAGCAGCAGCAGCAGACGACACATGCCAGCTCTAGCCAAGTGTGAAGCTTGGGGGGGTTTTCTAGATACCGGAAGTCCTGTGTTGGAAAAGCCTGTGCTAACCAGCAGGCTGCAAGAGCCCCAGGGGCTTTTAACTAGGACTACGGAACTAGATCTGCAGCTCAAGTGGAAGGGCTCTCCCGCAAGGAGATACGAGGCTCCCTTCACGCTCTCTCCCTTCAGCACTAAACACTCTTCTTTGTCCCAGAAGCTTCAGCTCCCCACCACCTGCAACCTCTAACAGAAAACGCACCGTAGCATAACCTCCCTGAAACCTAGGGCAAGGCGGTGGTAAGCTGGCTTTACAGGGACTTGGCCACAGTGACTCAGGTTCACATCACTACAGAAAGGACCTGGGAGACTCCCATTCCCCTCCCGCTTTCCAACCCACAGCTGGAAGTGGCAAGTCAAAAGCTACTAGGGTTTGTTCTGATTGACCAGAGCCAACCAATTCCAACGGTACCAAAGCAGGATCCAATTCCAATGATCTAATTCCAATGAGCATCTGTGCTCTGAGGAAGACAGCAGAGATAGTCTGGTTGGCTTTGCATCAGATCACTTATTCCTTTGCAGACCGATTCATTAGCGATCAAACAATACAGACATTGGAGGCAATAAGGGTTAAAAAACCCAACAAAACAACCAAACAAAAAAAACAAAACAGCACCAACATGTGCCATTAGTAGAAAGCCATTTTGCTCCTTATTGCAGTTCATGCTGTTTACAACCCCAGCTGGCCAGGAAAACATGCACCTTTCAGCAGGCCTTGGAACCAGAACAGCGGTCTTCACCACCCCCATCAGCAAGCTTGTGCTAGCACCTCCAGATCAGCTGATAAGACCTTGTTTTTACACTCTTGCTCATGTCTGCAGCAGCTCACCAAATCCATTCTGCATCTGCTGTGCCTGGGACTACAGTGGAACACCATTAAAACCCATTTCCAGGCTAGTGGAGACAAGAGCTAAGCAGCTGGAACGAAGCCAGGACAAGCATCTCTTCCTAGCTTCAGAATCTGATTGGGAGTCTCACTCTATATAAAGACAGAGCAAGAGCCATTACCTTGCCCTGACAGCATGAAGTAGCATTAAAGCAGGCAGAATAATTCCCACGAGCCAGTGCCTCTGCAGGCATCTGTCTAATGTGAGGGCTATGCACTGGATGTGTCTCAGGAGTACAGGAGATTGCCAGGATGCAGCTGGGACCAGCAAGTGCCCTAGAGCCACCCTGTGTTACCCTGAAGGGCTCTGGAGTGCCCACACTCCCTCCACGGTGTACCTGGGGCAGCTGCAAAGACCAGCTGACTGCAGGCTGCAAGACTCAGCTATTATTTCCAGAGGCAAATGGGTCTTGTAAACCGTAACAAGGCAGCCAAATTCACAGAGACAAAGCTCTACCTGCATAATAAGCAAAGGATCTGTTTTACCTCTGGCTCCCTCCACCAGCTGGAGTTCTTTGAGGAGCTACAATGCTCTTTCCTAGCAAATCAAGCCTTTATCCAGCAACTTTGCCAAGGTCAAGACCTTGCCACGTGTCCTTTGTGCCTTGAGAGCCATTTTGGTATTTGGGGTTAATGCTGCTGTTCCTACCTGGACATTCCTCCAAAACAGCAGATGAGAGAACACGCGCTTCCTGCTCCTTCTGCCAATTACAGCAAAGCTCAGCCATGTTTATTTACCCTGTGTCTGAGCTGGCCAGATCTTTGACCCTATGTGTGCTAAACACCACCCTCCTTCCCCTCACGCAGGGGCGGGCGCTTTCCATGTCTCCAAGGTGGCATGGGAGACAGGAGACCAAGGGCACTAGAGGAGACCCTAGCACGGAGCCGCAAGAGAGTGACAGATGCCAGCTATGCAAAGCACGAGGGAAGCCTGCGGTCGCTGGTAATGTGCCGCTGCCTCCCACCATTGTGCAAATTTTTCCCGGCTGCCTGGCCAGAGCATTCTGCTGCAACGCCATCCCCCAGCCCTTCTTCAGACACCTCCTCCCAGCCGCATCCTCTCCCTCCCAGAAGCTTACCAGCAATTGTCCTCCCTGCCCCCCCACCTTTGGTAGGGTGCACCTCCACTTTGGAACAGCTTAGTAAGCAGTTTATTAATAGGAGGAAGGTTTGGGGGGAAACAAGGCTCTGAAAGTTTGAGAGCCATTGCTGTATGCTAGGAGCTGCCTCCATCATCGTTTCTCCGGCTTTGTCTGGCAGCAGGAGGCACGCCCGCTGCGTATCCTTGGAACAAGCAAGCCAGAGAAACCCCTTCATCCCTCCTCAGTATCACCACAGAGAAATTCTGTGCCCACCTGGCTAACCATAAGCTTCCTAAGGAGAAGAGTTTTCATCAGCTTTGCCTGGAATTGCGCTTCAAAGCGGTCCTTTGTTACAGAACGACTGGGCACCCTGCCCATCTCAGTCACCGGATGGGAATCCTCCCCCACCCCGCACTGCAGAGGAGCGGTACCTGGCTGCCTGCAGTGGCTTGTCCAGCGTTGGCACTCCCGGAGGCCCCAGCGCCACGGAGAAGCGCAGGCCGTGGCGATGCACGGCTCCCACGGCGTCTGCCGCGCTGCCCTCCGGTTCTAGCAGGAGCGCAGGCACCAGGCGCTCGGCAGCCAACCACGCTGCAGCAGGGGGAGGGGAGGAGATGCAGCCAGGCTCCAGAAACAGGACGGTGAGACGCTCTCCTGGGAGCGCAGAAAGCGCCACGCACACCAAGCCCCAGGCTCCCTCCTTGGGGACTGATGGGAGCACCAAGGAGCAGAGCAGAGCCCCCAGGCTGCTGCCGCACGCTGCCCAAGGGGCTCTACCCCACCATCAGGCTCCTGCTCAGACAGCCAAAGTCACCCCTGCCCTACACCCAGCTAGATCTGCTCCATCCTACACTCAATCTTGCACAGTGAAAGGTTTTACATCCCATTTGGTATCACCCTCACCTGTGTCTCTGCTGCTGACCCCATCCAAGCCTCTAAAGCCAAGCAGGTGGAGCTGCAGAGAACCCTCCAGCTGTGCGATCGCTATTGCTCTGCCCGCAGAACTGGCCAGACACAGGACAAGATTGCCGGGAGCCCTACTGTGTCAGCACTGCGCAGTGCAGAGCTGGGCCAGGCACCGCCTGGAAGCGTTCCTTTGATCTCTACATGCTTTATGCAGGGAGAGGACAAATGCCATAGCATCCAGTGTAGCCAGCGGATTGTTGCTACAACCACCCCATCCACGGTAACACACTACCTTCACAGTGCACTCTACAACGTTTCAGAAGGCTCTGGAGGCATGCCGCCCCCAACTACCTACATCTGCGGGAGCCAGTGCTTCATCAGGATTCCTGTCCCTCCCTACAGGTTCCCCCGGAGGGAGAAAGGCTTCAGGTGTCCAAGGAGGGAGCCCGGCCATGTTGACACGCAGGCTCTCTCTTGCCCATCTCACAACACACACTTCTTCACTAAAGCATCTTACTGTTCTCCCTTCCCTAGTTCTGGAGGGCAAGCCTGGCTGGCTATGGAGAGTACACACGGCTACAGCACAGTTAAAAAAGACTCCCGCAAGTTACGTAGCAGGAGCGCAAACACGTATTATTTATCTTACACTGAAAGCCATTCCCGGCAGTGAAGACACAGCCTAATTATAGAGCAGCGAATCCCGCAGTCTGTGCCCACAGCACCCTGGCAACAGCCAGGGCTGGGACTTCAGGCTGT